TACGTAGCAAGGGAACTGGAACAGAAGTACCAGGTATTCCAATATCTCATTTTTTCATTCATTTGCTCATCTATTCATTCATGTATTTATTCTTGATGTGTTGAATAGGTGTGATCACATTTGAGGAGTATGAGGAACAGCTTGAGAATTCTGTCAGTGTTGARAATTCACCAAGTGCAAACAATAAATCCCACCAGACAATGAAACCAGGTWGGTAAAAATCTCAAACACAAAAATTAGGAATTAGTGTTATTCAGTCTGGTTCTACGGAGGGACGAAAAATGGAGGGTAACGAAAAAATGTGAAGTGAAAAGAAGAACAAACATCAAACTCAATTCATATGTATTTTGTTCACCATCTTAGAATCAACCTTTCAACTTAGTTGTGACATTTCAATTCTAAACAACTGTGCACTTCATGAAACCAAATACCGTATTTACCCATGTATAAGCCGCACTTTTTTTCCAAAAAAATCGTTCCCAAACCGGGGGTGCGGCTTATCTACGAGAAGACTTGAAAAAATGCCCGATAAAAAACTAATTTGCATAAATTAGCATTCACGGTTTTACTTACTGCAGACAGGACATCAATAATGTGATAAGTTTGTTTCACACGGTGGGAACAGGAATTTTAACCCAAACTTCTCAGTATTACTATAAATTCTCAGAAAATCTAGCTCTGAGAAACATAAGTCAATAAATCAAACTGAAATGTGCGTGGTTATTGAGCTAAAATGAACAGAGAGCATTTTCAATCCCGGGGGTTGGGAAGCGAGCGTTTCAATTGACTAGCATGCATAACACCCTTTATTKGATGAGCAAATGCAAAATAATTCTTGTCAAATCTATTATTTGGCATTTGCAATGTTTTCATTGGTGGTCCGTGAAGGTGGTCCATGGAGGGGTCTGCAGACCGGGGGTCAGTGTTTTCAACGCTCCCCTTTAAAATCAAAGAAAGCTGTGTTTGCAAGTAGCGATCAAAAAGAAAAAAGTTTATTTTCCGTCTTTTTTTTCCTCAAAAATGTTCCTAAAATTCGGGGTGCGGCTTATCTACGAGAGCGGCTTATACATGGGTAAATACGGTAAGCAAGTACAATATACTTTATTAACATGACCTAGTTAGTTGTAGGTATTGTCAAAGTTTAAATCTTTTTTTTTTCTTCAWTGAGCAAGTATCCTTTCAATGTATTTGTAGGTTTCTCTCTACCAAAGAAAAAAGAAAAGAAGGAGAAAAAAGAGAAGAAAACTAAAAAGAAGAAAGACAAAGACAAAGCGAACTCAAGTCACAGCAGCAACAGTCAAGGATCCCCAGAACACCAGGAAAATGGACCAGTGTAAGTATACAGTTTTTTACATGTGCTTTGATTGGCTGATTAGTTTAGGTGTGGCTGTCATTTAGATAGTACACATGATCTGATTGGCTAAAAATCTGCATTGAAATGATTATTAAACAGATGTTTTAAATGTATTTCAGAGAATCACCTGTAAGCGAAGGAAGTGAGATGGTAAGACTTTCTTATTATTATTTTTACTATTGTATAATGTACTAGTATTATAAAACGGTTCTTGTGCATTATGTAATAAATCATGAGATTGCAACCCCTGTTTTTCGTTTTTTCAGTTTGGTCATTTAAATTACTGATCAAGCCTTAATTATTTTGTTTTTGGTCCAGGCTTCACAGTCCTTTGAAGTTGACGAGGAAGGTTATCGAATACGACCACCAGATACAGAAAATATCCTTGATATAAATATCAAATTAACATGAATGAAACAATTTGAATGGTTAGATGTAGTGTATAATTTACATTGATTCTTGTTGTTTCTTGACTATTATCAAGTGCAAGGTCTGCAGGATACTCGTCTGATTCTGACTTTGATTCTGATGAAGGTGAGTATCGTACCTCAACGTAAAGGTGAAGAGATGGCACATGAATACAGAGGTTCAGATTAACGTTTACTGCAAACGCCCAAACGTCAAATTATCTTTTATGCTTTGTCTCAGAATCTCAAACAAATGTAAAACTGCTTTGAAAGGAATAGTGATGTGCTTATGTACGAAAAAGTGAATGATCTATTTTATACACAATTACGAAAAAATGGAGCATTAATAAAGAAAAACAGTGATCATGTGATCAGTTTTGACCTTTGGCGTTTGCCATAAATGCATATCTGAAACTCTTAAATGTGGTAGTTTTAGATTGTCCTAAAAAATCCAAGACTAAAACCTGTTGCCAACCTTCAAGTCCTTATTCTATACATCAAATACATCTATAGGATGGTCAACAGTTTTCATTGTACTAAAATGCTATAAGATGGAGTTTTAAAGACACTATTTGTTTTACAGATGAAGAGCCAAGACGTATTCAAGTAACTATTAAGCCAGTAGATGACCAAGTCTCTCAAACAGCGTCAGCCGATGAGATCAAAAAAATAACTGAATCCATGAGTTTATCATCACCAGCATCCATGGTAAGTAAAATGGTTGGATTAGAGAGGTGAATGGTTGGATTAGAGAGGTGAATGGTTGGATTGGAGAGATGTAGTGCTTCTTTTACATCAGAGAAAAATGTTATGATATGTACCGTACATTGTACAAGTCCTTGAATGGATAATATGATAAGATTATAAAATTTATTTCATTACAGAGACGCAATCTCAGTTCATCGTCAGGTAGTGTATGCTTTTCTATGTTGGTTTTATTATTTTTTGTTGTGTTTGTATTTGTTTGGTAATGTTATTAGTTTGTGCTTTGAGTTGAGATGATATTTTTCTACAGGTCTGAGTGATGGATTTAGACCAAGAGCAGCTACTGAAAACACCAAAACCAGCAATGCTGTTAAATTGTAAGAACTTTTCAGAGTATTGATTTATAAACAAAGGAATTCKCTTGATTTAACACYRCTATCATATCATTGTTGCTGTTAATAATTTTCRTTTTGATAACAATGTTATTTATGCAATAAACAACACATTTTCATGCGTTCCTGGTGAAATAAACCACACAGGCTGTTGGGAGAACACGAAAAAGACGTAAAAAATCTTGAGCTATAGGCCCTTTTGAGTGTTTTCCCAATATCCCAAGTGGTTTGTTTTATAGAATTTTTCGCATCCGTGATTTTACTGGCGAAATTAACAATAACATTTGACCAATAAGACAGTGCGTACTATGATAGCTATAATATAAAATGTCATCATTCTCTGTTATCAGCAGATCAAGATCAAGTGACGACTTACTTGATATCAACTTCAGCAATAAATCCATCGTAAGCCCTGGTAGTGATTCCAGTTTATCAACCTCTGTAATGTCAGCCGATGCAACAAAGTCAGACACCACAACTATTAATAACCTTAGCACCTTTGATTCATTTACAAAGTTAGATCCTTTRTCAACATCGTCTCCTGCTGCAGTTACTTCTCTTGGTATGTATGGATTACATTATCATCCATAGCAATTAAATGTTTGGCCAGTGTAGTCCTAGAAATAGCTCAATTTGTAATCATTAAGCCTCTATCTGTCTTTAGATTAACTTTAGCAGACAATGTGTCTTCTCAATTTTCTTGTAATTCTTCAGTTAACAGTTATGAATAAACTTGAATTGACTTGGCTATTATTAATCACTAATTAATAATCATTATTAATAATTGATATTTATTAGGAAATGATAAAGGAGACAATCATGATGATGACGACATTCCTCCTGTTTTACCAAAGAAAAAAGGTAGTTTTATCGTCATCAATGATGACATGAATACTCCTCCACCTCTACCCGCCAAGAGAGATGGGGCAGCAGGTCTGCTTTCTAGCCCAGGTATTGACAACAACTACTGCAAACAATTTATTTATTCATTTATCAATGTGCTGGTTGTTTTCTTTAGCTGACAGCAAAGTTTCATTRAATAAYAATAAYACCACTGAAGCTCCCAAACCACCATTACCACTACTTAATAAACCACCAACTCGCTCAGCGACGACAAGTTCAGCTCTTGCYAGACCACGCCCTCAAGGAACACAGGTTAGAGTACTAGTTATCACCACCAGCTCAATAGCAACTGTGATTTCACATGTTAACCATTTGGACATGGTCCCTCTAAAAAAACTGAGACCTGGGTGGTTAGTCTCAAATTATTTGCCTTGTTCTTATCTGAATATTGGATTCTTTTACATCACTATTTGGTGATTTTGAGGGGTAGAAAGCGACAGAACATGTGACTTTATGTTCTTATCCAAGAAGACAAGGCACTGAGAGAGTAAAGTGTCTTGCCCAGGGCTCGAAATAACGGCCAGACATATGCAGGACAAGATGTCCTTCCAAAKTCATTTGTGGAAGGTCATGTCAAGTTTTGAAAGAACAAAAACTTTAGTAATACACTATTATTTCTTTTAATTTATAATAAGTTTTTGTATTCAGAAAGATCGGCAGGCATTGTAAAAGATTCATTTAGCGAATTGAGAATTGATTTGTCTAAAAATGTGGCAGGTCAATTTGTCCTTTCAAAACCTGATTTGGCCGGTCATCTAGCAAATTCGGAAGGACATTGTGCTTTGACCGGCAGTTATTTCGAGGCCTGTTGCCTACAAACAACACACAAATAATGATAGGCTGGTCTTGGATGGGTCTAATACTGACCAGAACAGCTTACAAAGTGGAATCACGGAGAGACCAAGCAGGGTTGACAAAGAGGAAGCTCTCATATATTATTTTCTTGTAATTTCAGAAAAAGGCGAGCATTGTTTTAAACACCCAAACTCCACCAAACCAAAGCTCAGGAATGTCATACTCAGAAGAGCTGTTTTCCTTCATGTCAGACCTTGATTTCAGTAGTGCAACTAACCCTCAACAAACCAAAGACAGCCAAGATGGATCACCAAAAACACCAAAGACTCCCTCACGAGTTAGCTATGTTGGCTCTGTYGCAGTTACTTCAGAGACTTCCAGTAGCACTAGTTCTACTTTAAGCAGAGCAAGTACTTCTTCAACACTGCAAGACGATGTTGAGAGATTAGACAGTACTGGAGGTTTAATACGATCAAAGACTGTTGGAGCAATGCCGTCAGTACCGCCAAGAAATAAGGAGGATATTCTTCCTATTGCTGTTGCATTTATTGAGTCAGTGAATGCATTTTTTAGAGGGAATGATTACAAAGGGTAA